CTAGAAAAGTATCTAAAAGAGAGCGGAAGAGTCGCGATGTATGAGATAAACGTGGGGTGACACTGATTTTGGTGGGGGGCCGGTGGGCGGGGCGTAGTCGAACGAATGGGAAAGCGAACTGAGCGGGGGCGAATAACATTCACGGGCAGAGAGGCGTTTAAAGCGTCGCAGAGAATGAATCTGACTTCAACGAAACGTAGCTAACGCTTCTAATGCGTCTAGGTGCGACCGATACAGAAAGAGAGATAGTAATCATATGAGAAATGAAATGCGAATACGTCCGGGTCGTCGGAGGCGAACCGGTGGGCGGGGAGAAGGGCGGAGCGGAAACTCAAGAGACTCGGAAAAGAAAAGGGGGCGGGGACTGCGCGAACACCGGAGCTGGGCGTGGCTTATTGAATATTTAATCGAACGAACCTCAAGCAATTTTTGTCTCATTCAAAATTTCGCTATTATACAAGGTGATCAAGAAATATGGCAACCTTGTGATATAGAACAGCTACGAAAAATAAACAAAAAATACTAAATAAACTAGAATTAAAAAAATCATTTATTTCCTAGGTGAGATATTGAAGACGTTCTTGACCACCCTACGTACACCGCCACGAAAGACATTCAGATTTTTAGAAATTTAATATATTTATTTGGTATTCAATGAATACTTGATCAATAAATAATACGTTTATTAAAATCCAGCTCCGGTCGAATCTAAAGGGTCCATATTCCCTGTCTTTGAAGACGGGACCTAGGACAGTTCGGCTAACCTAACTTATAGAAAACGGCGGTTGTTAGATCGGAGAACGTACCTGGACCTCTCGCGTAAGGGTCGCGACCCGCTGGCACCTGCAGGTAATCTCTTGGTGACGGGCTCGTGTGAGGGGCATGGGTCAGAGCCTTCTGCACTAGTCCCGTCAGGTTGGCCAACTGTCTCTCCATGTGTTCGACCCTTATCCTAGGGAAACGAAGGCAGAAACGATTACCGAGAATTCAGTGTTCAATCAGGAAACAGATGATACATAGCAACTATGGATGTAGGGAATTATACTGAGGTGCTTTCGTAAAGCATTTCATCATATGCATGTATACTCAATGATAACGATATCTGGCGGTAGCAACCTTGGTATAACCTTGATTAGAGGATGCCTAAAGGCTTGAGTCCAATAATACTGTAAAATTGTTTTATCTGTGTACTAAGTTTGCTACCCCATTATCCAATACCAGGAGACAATGACAATGATTGGACATCGCGTGCAAGGTTTCTTCTGCCTGCGAAGTATGCTAACGCTGAATCGTCACACGGAATCTTGGGTCCAACATTGATGGGAATCACTAAATGGATGATCAAGGCCCGTGTGAGATTACTCCCAAGGTCTACGACATGTCGTACATATACATAAAAGCGCTTGATATGCATTCCCACTACGATCGCTAATCGGCATGCTGCATTCCACCGATTGGTTGTCGAACGCGCGGAATCTGACCAAATAAACGACTGGAAAGGACAATGTTGGGCTTCCTGAGATGCTTGGGACTCGATTGTAAGATTGTGCAGCGATGTCAGCGAATAGTTGGAAAATTCAGTGGATAATTATGAATTAAATATATGATTTTCAATTGGAACTCCAGTGGAAACCTAGCTTATGACTGTGTTATATCTAAATCTAACGAAGTAAGACTGAAGGGACTGATTGTTAGCGATATTTTAATCTGTATGGACTCAGATTCAAAAGCTGGTTAGATTTATATTCATTTATCTATCCTAAACACAATTTGAACTTAATTTATCAGAATACACATTTAACTCCGTATGCACCTAATTCGTATGGATCAAAAATCTTATATGTACCTAATCTAAAAGCAGGTTAGATTCATATTCATTTACCTACTCCAAACTAAATTTGAACTCAATTTATCACAATACAAACTCAACTTGCATATGCACCTAATTCGTATGGATCAAAAACCCTATATGCACCTAATCTAAAAGCAGGTTAGATTCATATTCATTTACCTATCCCAAACTCAATTTGAACTTGATTTATCAGAATATAGACTCGCATATGCACCTAATTCGTATGGATCAAAAACCCTATATGCACCTAATCTAAAAGCAGGTTAGATTCATATTCATTTACCTATCCCAAACTCAATTTGAACTTGATTTATCAGAATATAGACTCGCATATGCACCTAATTCATGTGGATCCGAAGTCCCATGTGCACCTAACCTATATGGCTCCAGAATTCTATGTGCACCTAACCTATAACATGGCTCTAGATTTCTATATTGAACCTCACCTATATGGATCATACATACGTTACGCTATCAACCTAAAGTATCAAATTATTTTGTAGGTAACCGAATAAAGTTTCTAAAATTTAAACATTGTCCTTCGTTAGAATTAGACCGTCGTCCAGATCGAACTTCGTTTCTTCGGTCATACCAAACGGTTCAACATGGTTCAACTAAACTAACTGATCAAAATTACCCGACGCTTCCGCGTTTCGATTTCATACGCAGCCCAGATCTCTGCATGCTTCGACGCGTACTATACATGCATCCAAACGAACGACCTACGTTCCGGGGAGGATTGAACCTAACGAGAATTGGTACAGGGCAGCTCGCGCTTCCTCCACCCAGGTCAATGAAGCCATCGTCCCACCGATCGATAAACATGTAACGTGTCGATAAACGGGCGAACATAAATAACCGAGCTGAGGGAGCTACGTGGAGCGTCGACCTGAGAGGAATAGCGAGCTTTTCACTTTCTTCCAGCTCATATACAAGGTGTTCGATGTAACTCAAATATATAAACGTGTTGCTACAAATAGGAAAGTAATTAACCCCTTGGCCTATGATTTCCTTCTCAACTCTGATCAATACGGCCACTTTGTCATTAATAATTTATTGGAAAAAGAGAAATATTCTAAGCATATATTACACCTATATTTCCTTTTAAGTATAGTTGATTACAGAGGAGTAATATTTACTTTGAATTTAAATGAACTCAGTGATATATATTTGTTGAATCATGTTGAAAATCTTCACTACGGGTCTCACTCGTTGGAGGACAAGGGGTTAAAACGAGATAGTTAAGCTTCATTTTAAACGAAAACCCCTAGCTTAAGTCCTCGATTAATTGTTTAGTATGGTATCATTCGATATTCGTTATTAAAGGACACCCTGTATAGGTATATTTTTTATTCAATCCATAAATACTTTACTAAAATTATTAATAAATTCTCCCGCGAACGATGGCCGTTAGATCTATGGACGACGCATTCGCAAGCGCATTGGAGTCAGATTAAAAGCGTTCAGACTCTAATGCCAAGATTCCATAAGAGGGTAAAACTTTTAAAAATCCAAGATCTATAAAGAATAACTCTCGACTACGGAAACTTAGCATCAGATTTTACGAAGAGACCGAATCGCATCGGCGGAGCTCTACGTTCACTGATTTCATTTCTATCGACGTGTATACACAAGGTGGATGATCGGTACCGAGTAGCGTCGTAGCTCTGTCCACCAGGTGGCAGAGGTGGTGGCGCCCCTGGAGGAAACGGGGATCGCGGAGGACCGGATGGCTGACGGCCTGACGGTTTCACACCGTATAGGCTGTATGATTCCTCCAACAGCTCCGTATCGCTGCACCATCCACAACAGAGACATACGTATCCGCGCTATCAGCCATCCATGATGATACGTGATCGTTCTTCCCCTCTGAACCCCGCCGACCACGTTTGCGCAGGATGTCATTCGATTATTGCACGATAACTTTATTCATTTCGTTAGAATACAGGGTGATCCATAGGACCTTTAGTTGAATCTGGTTGAACTCGTATATGGATCATGGATTCTGAACAGCTATGGACTTCTCTAATGAATTTATCATAATCCCCATTGTGGATCTTCTAGGTTATGGAGTCTCTAAATTATGGGCCCTCCATGTTATGGATTCCGTAGGTTATGGATCCCCTGGATTATGAATTTTATAAGCTATGGCCCCCCTAAATTATGGACCCTCTAGGTTACGAACTCTCTAGGTTTGTATTCCCTAAGTTATAAACCCCATGGTATGAATTTCCTAGGTTATGGAGTCTCTAAATTATGGGCCCTCCATGTAATGGATTCCTTAGGTTATGGATCCTCTGGCTTATAAACCTTCTAAGCTATGGACCCCCTAAATTATGGGACCTCTAGGTTATGAACTCCCTAGGTAATGGACTCCCTAAATTATAGATCTCCTATGTTGTGAACTTTTTAGATTATGGAGTCTATAAATTATGGACTCTTCATGTTATGGACTTCTTAGATTATGGACCCTTATGGCATATGAACCTTTTAGGCTATAGACCCCTTAAGTTCTGAACTCCCTAGTTTATGGACTCTCTAAATTATCTACCCTCTATGTTATGAACTTCCTAGTCTATGGACTCTGTAATTATGGATCCTCAATGTTATGAACTACCTAAGCTATGTGTCCTCTAGACTAGGGACCCTCTGAGTTATGGGCCCTCCAAGTTATGGACCCTCTAGGTTATGAATTCTCTAGTTTATAGACCCTATAGGTTATGAATTACCTAGTTTATAGATCCTCTAGGTTATAAATTCTCTAGTTTATAGACACTCTAGGTTACAAACTCTTCGAGTTTATATATGTGGACTCCCGAGTTGGATCTATCATTCACGTTGAAATCATTAATTCTAAAACTCCATCTTTTTTCTACCGAATCTATCATGATCCCTATAGAGATAACAGGCCCATAGACCCAGATCAAACTAAACTATAAATTTCAAAGATCCACGGACTGTCAATTACATCCTGCGCAATCGTACCAAATTATCACCCACACTTGGACCCCAAACGAAACAACCAAAACACATTTACTCCCTCATTCATGGTAACCAGAAGAGGCCATCAAGCAGCGTGGGGGAATTCGGTCGTCGTCGGCGGTATCGATACTCCGATCAAATCGAATCAAACCGATGACCCGTTTTTCGCGTCGCGGCGCGAGGCGAAAACGAAGGGGAAGTCCGTCGGAGCGTGAAATGAACGCGGCTCGGCTCGGAGCGCGGCAAGTTCGATTACCGATCGAACTACCCGTCCCCTAGCGCCAGCCGATGAAAACAACCGACCACGGAACTCCGGTTACCTGGCTTCCTCGTCGATGACTGGCGTCACGGTTCCCGAGTACTGCGAGTAGTACGGGTCCTCGTAGCTGCTGCCGGCACTGTACGGTCCAGCCGGGTATCTTCCGGTCCCGGAACCAACTCCGCCACCTCTCTCCGGACTGCTCATGTAACCGGTCTCCCCGTGCAATCGATCTGCAGCAATCGAGAGGATTAATCGGACCGACGACACATCGCGTTCGCGTTTCGTTTTCATTTCTTTCTTTATTTCTCTTGGTAAAGGGTTTCTAGCACCGGTCGTGTCGGTTCGAGCCAGCAAAGGGTCGACAGGGAAGACAATATACATTAGGTTATATAGGGACTTTTTCACGGGCGTGCTTCTTAGGATGGGATATATCAAATAGTAACTTCTACGTCCTTGGGGTAATACAATGGAGTAACGGGACAGAATAGTTGTAGCAAATATTTGGGGTCGACTGCGATGCTCTACTGATAGTTACGGAATGCCACATATTTGGAGAGGGTTATGTAGTATACATATGCGTCGCAAGGTATTTCTGGGTCGACGAACGGGTTGCGTCTCTTTTTAGCGGATTCAGTTGCGTCGGATTTAGTGCAATGCTTTTTCGTGAGTTTTCTTGTGGTTGGCCTAGACGATTCTGTTGTAGAGGTTGGGATCTCCTAGGGCCTTCATACAGTGATATAATAATATAATATGCAGTATATGTCATGTAATACAATAATAGTAGTACGGTTTGTATATTGAAGTTAGGAGTTGCTAAGGACTTCTTTTAAGGGCATAGAGTACTCTTAATTCTTGTTACCGAGAATAAGGATGGCTAGGGACTTTACCTATACATAGTACTTTCTTAGTTTTTATTATTAAGGTTAGGAAATGTTAAGGACTTCAGCTCGTACTGTGTTAGCTTCTACTAGAGAGACCAGGAGCTGCTAAAGACTTCAATCTACATAAACCACTGTTTCAAACAAATTACAAAATCTTCCCAAATAGTACCTTCACACATGTAACAAATTAGATCTAGGAAACTTTTGCTACCCAGTTACTCGATTCTACGTGAATTAAAGTACCACAACCCAGAGCAAGTTGTCTGCACTGATCCAGGCCTCAGTGGTTCTCAACAGAGCCACAGAAACGCCATGCTCATGGCAATCCGACGAACCAAATCACGGTGCCAATTAGGATTTCCGGTTTCGACCAAATCGCCTCCACACAGTCGAACTAGTCGCTCACCTCTCGTCTGTTCACCGAGCGCACACGTTCTAAGCCAGGGGTGTCGAACTGGGAGCTCGCGAGCTCCATAGTGACTTTCCCCTCACGGAGAGTTACTCTCGCCATACCTACTTTTACCTGTTTGCATTGAACCCTACACAGAGCTGCTCACAAACACAGTCTCGGCCAGCTGCTACGGTAGACATAGTAGGGGACGTTGATCGAGAGTCACTAGTATAAGGGGAGGCAGTTCGACACCTCTATTCTAACCGATTCCCGACGACCCGACCAACAGATATCCCTAAAACCCCATTTCTAGAAACTTGTTCCTCGAGCCTGGCGTCACCTTTGTCTCAGGGGAAACCCAGGTCGAGGAGGAGCCGTTTCGCGTCGAGAATCGTCAAGCCTGTTCGCCATCAAAGTGTATTCGAACGGTTCGAGAGGCGGAGAGTACCGTGATCTAGGGAGAAAGATTAAGTCCCGGGAGAGATCCGATCGACGGGGATCTGGTTCTTAACGATTTTGTTGCTTTTTCTATTTTCGCTTTCTCTGTGTCGAGGAGTTTCTGACGTTTCTTTCTTTCTTTCTGCTGTCGTCTTCTTCGTTTAAGGATAACTACTGACCTGCTATGCTATAGAGGGAGACCGAGCTGTCTCTAGAGAAGCGAGCCGAGCCCCCGAGGCTTCCGATGGGAGTCTTACCGCACTGGTAGCTGCGAAGCGGCTTGGCCGGCGGCACCCCGCCACCACCTATCCAACCGTCCGGAAAAACCAAACAAAAACCAATGTACCCAGCTTGTTCCGGTTCACGTCGCGTCGCTCCCTAACCTCGTCTCTTGCCACATCAACGATCCCCATAGTGCTCGTATCAATACCGTACCACTCGGACATGGATACTTATCGAAGCATCGTATGTTGTAATTAACGTAATCAAATATAACGTTCAAAGAGGTTGGAATTCGAATAAGGATATTCGCGAAGAGCACGCTGCTTTGTGGTTCAGAATTATTTAAGAATTTAAAATAGGTGGAAAATATAAACGTGATCTGAGTTTACAGTGTGTGTTATAGTTGTGTTTTAGGTTGTTATGATTGGTTAAAATCCTTGGTAGGTTTTAAAAAAATCTGAAGGAAAATATTGTTTCATTGAACCATGTATTCACTAAGTTCTTCGAGAAATTTCTTTACCTTTTAGTATGTTTCTTTATAATATTCTGTAAAGTAAATCAATTTATAAAAATATAATTGTATAAAAATATTATCGACATAGGGAAATCCCCGGAACAATATATATATACAGCACAGGCAACATTGTAAAGTGGTTCCTTAAATCTTCAAATCACTAGACAATTTACTTCGATTTAACATTAGAACCATCGATCCCTTAAACTGACTTTTGAGAATTTCTTTACAAAAACTACAAACGTGAATTTATTAAGGTTTGAATTAGTTTAAATTTCAGCTTAGATATTACTTAATCAGCTTCTTTAGTAATTCCACAAAGAGGCATTCGTACCTTTAAGTAATCGTCAAGGAAACATCAAGAAATGGGTCATTTCGATCCATCGGGTAGTTCTAGTCTTAATTTCGAATCTAATTGCCAGCTATTTTAAGAGAATCTATCAGAGAAGATGCTTTTTCCTCGAATTAAAGGAACACGTAAATGTATGTTAAGTGTTAAGGAGATGTTACACTTCTAGTGACTTTTTCTTACACGGTTGGCAACGCGAAGCCATGAGCACTATGGACGTCGCTGCTGTAACTCGCTTGGCAGAAGAGTACCGGCCAGCGGATTGACAAAATCACGCACGATATCGCGCGAGAAAAAAAAATATGTTGCAGAAGAGCGGCGCGCACACTTCTGTCACACGGTAGCAATGATGTGACATGAATGCTCGTCGACTGTCGGCGAATGACAGGAGGACCGCGGCGGGAAGATCTACGCGTCGGCGAATGCAACGGGCAAATAGGTCTCGTGCTAGCAATCCTGGCGTTGAAAAGCTTGGACGAAGAAGATCGGGACAGGCAACGTTCATACGAGTCGAACGAGCACGGCCGCGAGACTGGTGTCAGGGCAGCTTTAATCTTACAGCTCATGGAAATTTTACAGCGTGTAGAAAGAGGATTGAGGACAAAGGGTGTGTTCGGATTAAAAGGTCTATAGTGCTCCCAGACTAAATTGAATTGTTGATGAACAGTTTGATGGAATATTTAGATGAGACACTTTGTGCGAAGTTTCAACCCTTTATCTTGATAGGTAGGCTAGTTGCAAGGAAAACTTCGGATTATCGAGTTTCAGCTTATTTTCTCTGTTTAATCGCATGGGAAAATTTGGAAGAAAATTTAGGACACTGTAGCTATCGAGATGTGTACTAGGGAATTTTTTCGGACTTCATGGACGAGAATTATATTTGTTAGACAATTAGGAATATTTATGATTGTAAGCCTATGCAGTTCGTAACTCGAGTATTGTTTGGTGAGTGTATCCTTCACGAAGATTATTTATAGTAAACATTTGAGACATTTGAATCTGGTATTTCATAATAAAAACGTGAAGCTGGCGAATGTTTTGGCAAGTTGAAACTTGGCGCAGAAAATCTCTCGATAAGCATCAGACAATTCATCGTCGATTGAATTTGTGAAATTCTAGAAATCAAAAGGTTCCCAAGGAAAGAACGGGAAAAGAAAAGAAATAATCAAACGTAAGGATGCGAAGGGCCTGTAAGAGCCTTAATGCAGCCCTGACTAGTGCAAGTCTACGAGTAAAGGTTGACTGCGCAATTTGCAAGCCGACGACTGTATAAATTAATAGGAATCAAAAAACCGAGCGAATTGTAATCGACATACTTTCACGATGATAGTTTGCCCAGTCAACCAGAACTCCTCGACGGACCGTCACTCGTTCGATGATCGATCGTCACTGCAGGCAGGATCGGATGGCGGGGTCAGCGCGTGCAGGTGCATCGGGCTAGGTCACTCTCGGAACTCATTCGACAGCGTGCGAGACTTTAGCGAGCAAATAACGTCGAATCGTTTCGTCTACCCTTTGGGTCACACCTCGAGGGTGACCGGAAACGACACTCGGGTTAGTGGCCGGTAGATCACAGCGTTTCTCAATTGAAAATGTCCCTTTGGCAGGGAGCAATCCTCGTTCGGCGATGGCTGGGTATGTTTTGACCCGTGATGTTAATGATTGGGGTTAGTAGTTCGTTACAAGCTGTCTAAACTAGGAATAACCATCTGAGTATGTTTCTTGGCTGAACGAGTTTGCTTTAGAGCAGTGGTTCTCAATCTGTTCCCACCCCTCCCTCTTATTTATTATTAATAATCGGTGACTATAATTTTACGATTGTAACAAATAATAATTTTAGATAGAACATTAAATTGTCAAACAAAAATAAAGTAAAACAAAGTAAAATAGTTTGTTATATTCTAGTACCTATTATGTTTTGCTCACGAAATTTCTGTTAATTTAACCCTTTGCACTCGAAAATCTTTTGCCAGAAATATACAACACATTCGATAAAATATAGACGACGTTTTTCGCGATTAATGTAATTAATTTAATCGATAAATTAAGGGATGGAAGTATGTTATTATGAAATTTCACATAATAACGCATTATACAAAGTTCAATATTAAACGTTAAACTTTCTAATTTAACCGTATCAAACCAAGTGGTGACTCTCAGCAACCCTTTGCTTCCGAGTGCAAAGGGTTAATGCATTAAAAACAAGCTCCTCCAAGTTGAGAATCACTGTTTCAGACCACGCCCACAAAAACAAGATCAAATGAAACAGGACCGAATATTTCTTTATACTTCATTATCTAGCATCTCTTGCACACGAACTTAGACTCAAAATTCAATCAAAACAGTATACTAAACGTTGAGGACCACTGTTTGAGAACTTCGCTCAGATAAGTCGTTTCAGACGAGACACGCACAGCATGGCGGAACCAGCGAGAGGTTACTGTATGTTAGAATTGCACACGGGTCCAAAAACGACCCAGGCACCGGCTGACGGTGAAACTATGGGCAATAACCGCGAACCGAAGAGTCAAGAGTAGAGATTACAGTAGCGTGGACAAGCATGAGGGGTTGACAATAGGCACAGAAGCAGCATTTCTCGCGTTAGTCGGTCAACCGATTCCCGAAGACGTCCCGTGTGTCGCGGAATTTAACGGCGATTCCTATGAGCGCGTCCGTCGTACCTGGTTTGGCCAGTGGCAACGGTTGGGTGGGCGTCGCGGTCGGGCCACCGACGACGGACGACGCCGCCGGACTGTACGCCCTCATCAGCTGTCCGCTTCGCGGCAACGTGCTGCTTCCGCCGACGTAATAGCCGCTGTTGCCGGAAGTCGAGTTCTTCGCCGTCTGAAACAGAAAAATATCCCTTCCGCATGAATACATTAAATCGCGAACCGCGAAAATCTAAATTGATTTTTTTTGCATTGATTTTTATGTTAATAATGTTCGTTTTTTATGAATTTAGAATATTCCAAATATACGTGAAGTTAATGCATGGTAATGAAAGAATGTTTTAGAAAGTGTGCGAGTGAGACAAGAGCGTCTGAGTGTATAAATAGTGTGTGCGTTGCTTGATTTGTCGATTGTTTCATTGTGAGCTGTGATGAAATAATTATACTGTTTCAAATAAAATTCTCTTCCTCCTTCATATCTAATACTCTATTTCAGTAGCATTCCAATGAAAACGGTGCTACTGAAGTGTCCGCAGGACACTTGTTTGAAACAGTTGCTTGATTTGTGGTTTGTTTTATTGCGAGTTGTCATGAAATAATTATACTGTTTCAAATAAAATTCTCTTTCTCCTACAATATTAATCGTTGTGCAACGTATCCATATGTGGCATATTGAAAGATATCAGTTTCGTTCTATTTATGTGTGATTTCTCCGTCAAGTCAGTTTGAAAGAATGTCGTTGGTATCTTCTTAGAAAATGTTGAGTAGTTTTAATGAAAGACTTATGCAGCGCAAAGGGTTAATAGATCATATATTGTTAAGCATTGGTGATTGAGAGGACGGTTGGCAGGCTTGCGGTGGATAAAGTGTTAAATGCGAAGTGCTGTTTCTTTTTCAGCGTAGGATCACCGAGGTCTGATTGAAGGGTTCTTGTAGCAAACTGTGAGTGCCAAAATTAATTTGTCTTTCTCTATTGTCCTTTAATACGTTCGCTAATAGCGTCACATATTTATGACGGCAGCAATGTTGTATTTTACATATAGAAAATTACACTGTTCCTATAAATATTGTTATCTAAAGTTATAAGCTACGGTATTATATTTCGGGACGCAATGATTCGTTTCAGTTTCATTCCTTCAATATTTTGTTTAGATTTGTCGAATAGAATATTATATATGCGAAGATTGTCACTGAAATAAACGCTGGTGAACGTATTAATCAGATTACGGAAATGTTCCATTTAAAATAGAAATGTATTGATTAATTATTTTTATTATGTATTTTCTCTATCGTTGTTTGATACTTTTGTGATCCATTTTTAGAATAGAGGTATCATTATTGTAATTATTATTAAAATTCTGGTTTTAATGTGTGCAATTATAAGTGTAATTACATGAAGTAATTATATTCTGTGAAAGTAGTGCTTTGATATTTGTAAGTATGATTATAACATTTCAACATGCAATACAATTGTATGGAGTTTTAACGCTCTAATTTATATACTGCACGTTATTTGTAATACACGCGTGAGTAACGGTTTGATAGAAGTTTGATTAATAGTTTTATTATAAATTAAGATTTGTTGTAACTGTTTTCCTGTAGTAAAATATGGTTTTACAAGGTATGAAAAAATAAAATTTGAATTTTAAACATAACCTTAATGTTTATGCAGAGAATACGGTATCTTTTTGTCAAGTTGAATCAGGAGAAAGTTGTAATAATAAAGGTGACAGAAATAAACAGATTTTTCGAACGTAACCTCGATTATCATTAAAAAATAGTAGCTTAAAAGATATAAATTACTGGAACCATGCAACTATCCTCAGAACTTCTATCCATCTTTTAACCAGTTAGCTGTCGCGACTTGAAAGTCGGCTGTCACTCCTTAAAAAGTTTACTTCAAGTATGTTGCAAGGAGTAAGCGATGAAGTATACTCGTCAGACACAGGGTATGCGTGGCTGTTATAACAGAAAATTAAATTGTAATGAAATGACTGTTTTATTTTTTCATTTTATTACTAATATTTATTCACTTACTTTACTTAAATATAGGTAGTTTGCATACGAAAGGAAAAAATTCATGAAAAATCAATTACTCAAGAAAGTGATTAGTTAGTTCTGCTGTTGTGGAATGATATTGAGTAATATCATGGAATATCATTAGAGTACGATACATCTACAAAGAAAGAAACAATTACTTTGTTCACGTTATACACAGTTTTTCACAATAATTACTTATATCCTTTCAATCATTCAATTTATTTTGTCTTGGCTTCTAAATATCCAGAACACATTGAAATTTACGAACTGGTTCTCACTAAAACTGCAATTTAAACGGTAAATCATCAGCACTTTTTACTCGTGACGAGTATACTCGTCGCAACACAAAATCCTGTTATTCCTTCGTGACGAGTGTACTCGTCAAAAACAGCTAACTGGTTAAGAAATATATCGAACGTAAATCAGAAAATTCAAAATCTGAGAATGGCCCGTTTACAGTCACGTAGTATTCAATTATGCAAATTCCGTGAGGCAGTTCGGCGTGCGTTGAGCATAAAGTATCGACAGGAGCACATCGGACGCCTCCAAACTGCTTTAATTCGACAAACTGGGAAGTTTGATTTATCCAGATGCCGGAAACACGATGATATACGATCGAATGGAAAGCATCGCGATATTATCTATCCATTCGGACGAAGTACATGCGGGAAGATATCGAAAATGAATTTACGAAATTGTGCAATCGCTCCGCTGGAAAATGACGATCACGGATAGAAAGTTATCTCAACGTAAGCAACTATTTGATTTGAAGTAAAAGAATCAGATAAAAGCAATTCGACTATCGCCATTAATTAACACCTTTCCTTTTATTTTAAGTCTGATATATTTACTGCTTGTCTGGGTATTGATAAATAGGCTGATAAAAAAGCAAAAATGTTGGAAAAAAAATTGTAGATTACTTTCTCCTCGACGTGGATCATGTTCTGTATTAGATTAATCTTCATATAAAACACGAAATTCTAATTTCTCTGTGAACTGATAGTTCAACCGGTAAGTAGTCAACTAGTTTTCAGCCGATCCTGTTTGATTGGAGGCGTGACTTTTTTTTCAAATATTCTTTCCGTTTCGCATGAAATAAATCATCCTGTGTCTGAGATAAGAGAGAACATATTTCGAAAATGATTTGTTTAATTGATTTAACTCTGCAAACGTGTTTAGTAGGTTTCTCTTTGTAGTATAAACTGTGGATATATCTGTAAAATCTGAGTTTCGAGATTTAGAAAACTACAATGAAATTTGATAAAACAAATAAATTTCAGTGTACGGCATCATTCCCATAGGACTGCTATAATTTTCGTTTAAGTGAACCTTTTCACTTTAAAAAATCCTTATGTATCCTTCGAATATTACAAATCAAAGCTGCGAAGTTTCGAAACGATACGTTCAGGCATTTCTCGTAGTAACATACACAAAATAAAAAAATGTAATATCAAATTACTTCATTAGCATCGTTTCATTATTATTGCACGTTTATCTTGCCGAATGTCATCGCAGTAGGTAGCGCTATAGATAATATAAAGATTTTTGCAAATAATCATCGTTTAATTGACTGAATTATGACTTTCATAGATTATAAATTTGGCACTCATAAAATTCTCTACAAAAATAAAAATTGTTAGATGCCCAATATCAAAATGTTCAACGTTACGCGGAAATTGTGTCAAGAAAAATCATTTTCTATCGCAATTATATTTCCCCGATTTTCCAAAACCCTTTAAACAGTAACTTTGCATAAGTTATAAATTTAGCGCACATAAATTCTCCACAAAAATCAAAATCTTTAGATGCCCAATACCAAAATGTTCAACAACGGAAATTTTGTCAAGAACAATCACTTTCTATCACAATTATATTTCTCCAATTTTCCGAAACCTTTTAAACAGTAACTTTGCATGAATTATAAATTTGGCGCTCATAAATTGTCCAGAAAAATAAAAATTTTTAGATGCGCAATACCAAAATGTTCAACAACGGAAATTTTGTCAAGAACAATCACTTTCTATCACAATTATATTTCTCCAATTTTCCGAAACCTTTTAAACAGTAACTTTGCATGAATTATAAATTTGACGCTCATAAATTGTCCACAAAAATCAAAATTTTTAGATGCCCAATACCAAAATGTTCAACAACGGAAATTTTGTCAAGAACAATCACTTTCTATTGCAATTCTATTTCTCCGGTTTTCCAAAATTATAATACTCAACAACGTTGCACGATGAAACGTCGCTATGCGGAATTTCCACGCGAACGCGATCGCGTGTGCTCTGGGCGCGGAGAAAACGCCTCGAGAAAGGGAAACCGTTCGCGCTGCTTGGCAATGAAAACGACACGGGCCAAGAACGGTAATAATCCCTCATTTTGTCGCCGCGGTGAACCGCGTCCATCCGTTCTCCGCCATTTTACGATCCATAAACTCACTCGTTATCGTTCGTGGACTTGCTTTTTTTCCCAACTCGACAGATTTTGCACCTGCTTGGGAAGACAATGCTCCCCAGTGCACGGTTTCCTTTCTTTCAGTTTTTTTTAACGATTTTTATCGATCACTGGATCCAGGTTAGAAGACTTTAGACTTTCGTGATTTCAAAAGAGCCATATATAAATTCTTAATCGGAAACTACTTTGTTCAACACCTTGGATTATCTAACGATCGTGTCCAGACGTCGAAACCACATAATCCTCGTATTACGCAATTCGCCTCGATCGTAATTACGCTTTCGCTGTTTCTTCTTTCTTTTTCTTTTTTCGTTTGGCTCACTCGCGAACTACTCCCAATTTGGCATGAGAATTTGTGTCAACGGAGAAATTGTTTTCCTGTGATCGTTGTGGCGTGGTTGTGTGCCTGTAGTTTTTGTCTGAAATAAGGATCTTAATGTGCATTTGTTTTTTTTAATGCTTTGCTGGGTTTTGCAGTTTAATGTGTTTATTGTGCAAACGTTTCTGAGATCTTGTTAACGTTTTTAGCGTACAGACGATTCATATGTTTGTAGATAAGGGACTATTAGGTTAAATTTAGTTTTTTCGGCTGTTGTCTACATTATAAAATGTTGCAACTGAATTTTAATAGCAAAGATGAAGAGATTAAAGTTATTCTTTTGTTATGGGCTCATTCAT